GCGTGTGTGTGCCGGGCCCCGTGGGGTGTGTGTGTGTGTGTGTGTGTGCCGGGCCCCACAGTGTGTGTGCGTTGCACGTCTGGCTGCAAGTGCCCGCGTGGGCCCCTGCTGTGCGCGTGCCAGGGCCGGCTGGGCGGGGCCGAGGGGCTCCAGGGCGGCACCTACCGCAGCAGCGACAGCTCCCCGAAGTGCTCGCCGGCTCGCAGCACCCGGATCTGCTCCTCCCGCCCGTGCACGCGCCTGCTGACCCGAACCTGCAGGGAGATGGGGGCTGGGGCATCGCTCCTGGGGGGGCTGGAGGGGCAAGAGGCCCTGGGCTGGCAGAGGAGCCCAGTTCGGGGGGGCTGGAGGGGGCAGGGGGCCCAGGGGCACAGCAGGGCAGGGGACTGGTACTGTTTACACCTGGGCTCTCTGAAGGGAGCAGCACCCCGACCCCCAGGCTCCCCAGAGTCACCTACCAGCCCCCAAAGTGCCCCTGCTCCCCTGTGGCCGCGGAGCCGGGAGTGGGCTCTGGTAGGGTTACCATATTTAACAAATAAAAAAAGAGGACCCTCCACGGGGCCCTGGCCCCGCCCATTTCCCCACCCCTTCCCCGCCCCAACTCCGCCCCCTCCTCCCTCCCACTCCCAGCCACGCGAAAAGGGCTGCCCGAGCGCTACCGGCTTCACGGTTTGCCGGGCAGCCCCCAGACCCTGCGCCCCCGGCCGGCGCTTCCCCAGCGCAGCTGGAGCGCGGGAGGGGAAGCGCCCAGCCGGGGGCGCAGGGTCTGGCGGCTGCCTGGCAAACCGTGAAGCTGGTAGCACTTGGGCTTCGGGCTGCCCCGCTGGCTCCCCCAGAGGAAGGTGTGAGTGCGAGCTGCCTGGGCTGGCTGCATGGAGGGGCTGCTGGGAGACAAGGCCCTGGGCTCATTAGCCCAGCTGAGCGGGGAACCGAACCCAGGCGTCCTGAGTGCCAGGTGGGGGCTGCAACCCCTGCCCTGCTTCCCAAGAACCCTGGGAGGGGGTGAACTGTTGCCCCAACGGTGGGGGGGGGGGGGGGGGGGGTGGTGCCCCGGGGGGGGGAGGGGTCGTGCCCCAGCAGGGCAGGGGAGGGGTCGTGCCCCCAGCCAGGCTGCACCCACCTCTCCTCTCAGGATGATGTAGAAGTTATTCCCCTCGTCCCCTTCGCGAACAATCACCTCATCATGAGCGAATGTGCACTGCAGGACAGACACATGGACAGACCCGTCACTGCAGGATGGACACACGGACAGGCCCGGCCCCGCGGGATGGACACGCGGACAGGCCCAGCCCCGTGGGATGGACATGCAGACAGGCCCGGCCCCACGGGATGGACACGCGGACAGCCCAGGCCCCGCGGGATGGACACGCGGACAGGCCCAGCCCCGTGGGATGGACATGCAGACAGGCCCGGCCCCACGGGATGGACACGCGGACAGCCCAGGCCCCGCGGGATGGACACAGGGACAGCCCAGGCCCCGCGGGATGGACACGCGGACAGGCCTGGCACCACAAGGTGGGGCAGATGCCCTGGCGACCCAGGGAGATGCACTCAGGGATTCACCCAGCCCTGTGCCAGGGCACGGGGTCCTCGACCTGTGCCCCCCTGTGCCCAGGCGTGTCGCCAGCCCCAGGGCCCAGCATGGAACCAGTGCAGCCTCGCGTGTGCCAGTTCCTGACCCTCGGCCCGGCCCCCAGCCAGGGCTGGGACCAGCCGTCCCTGTGTGCCGCTCCCGGGGCATGGAGGCGCTGTCGGTGCCATGGGGCAGCCCCATCCCTAGACACGAGGGAGCCCGCGGGGCCCGTGGGACTGCGCAGCCCCCGGCTCCTACCTCCTCCATGGAGTCCAGCAGCTTGGAGAGCTGAGTGTCCGCCAGGCCCTGCAGCGATGGCGCCCTGGGGAGAAGAGCGGGGCCATGTCAGCACACTGGCCCGCCTGGCACCCAGCCCGGTGACCGGCACCCACTGGCCC